ACTATAACATTTTTATACAAAACACATTAATTTATATCCATAGATTTTCTTAAGATTGTTATACATTTTAAAATTTTCAGAGATTCATACAAAACACAATAAAATTAATCATTAGGCCCATGTTTAATGAACAAAAACCCAACCTAGGCCCATGCTAATAAAAGTGTGAAGGTTATCGTGGATTTAATAATTTGGTTATGTTCCGGTTCGATCAGTGCTGAAAATGAATCATTCTAAAAATGCAATCTAATTAAAATATTTTTTTTTTCTTTCTCTTCCGAAATCGCCTAGTAGTAGGTGATGCTTTTTTTTTGTTTGTTTCACAGTAAAGAAGAGAATCAAAATCGAAAGTCTCACACAAGACAGATCTCTCTCTCTTTCTCTCCCGCGGAGTCCCCGAGATCAGATCACCACTTTCTCTACTATGGCGTCTTCGTGCTTCAAGGTCCTCTCTTCTTCTCCATGGATCGGCCACCGCTCCTTTGCCGCCAACCCCTCTGCCTCTTCTCCTCCTCCTCGAGTCTCCTTCGCGATCCGCGCCGGCGCTTACTCCGACGAGCTTGTTCAAACCGCCGTGAGTACCCTTTCCTCTCTCTTTTTTTTTGCGCAATTCCCGCTTCTGATTATGGTCCAAAAAAAAAGTCAAAACATGATTATGATTATGATTCTGATTCGCGTAAATCTTGATAGAAAAGCATAGCATCCCCTGGTAGAGGTATCCTTGCGATCGATGAGTCGAATGCAACTTGTGGGAAGAGGCTTGCCTCTATTGGGTTAGATAACACTGAGGAGAACCGTCAAGCCTACAGGCAGCTTCTGCTTACCACCCCTGGCCTCGGCGATTACATCTCTGGTTCCATTCTCTTCGAGGAGACGCTTTACCAGTCCACTAAGGACGGCAAGAAGTTCGTCGATTGCTTGCGCGATGCCAACATCGTCCCTGGCATCAAAGTTGACAAGGTTCGCTTTCCTCACTATCCCATCATTTCATGTCTTTCTCAAACTGATGATTCCATTCGTATCTTTCTCTACAGGGTTTGTCTCCCCTGCCCGGCTCCAACCAAGAGTCTTGGTGCCAAGGCTTGGATGGATTGGCTTCACGCTCTGCTGAGTACTACAAGCAAGGAGCTCGTTTCGCCAAGTGGTATGTCACCTGTTACTTGTTATGGCCCACTCTATTTTTGGTTGGTGGCTTTGATTTGAGCTTGTATGTATGTGTGTTGTCCAGGAGGACTGTTGTGAGTGTTCCTTGCGGTCCTTCAGCACTAGCTGTCAAGGAAGCTGCGTGGGGACTCGCCCGCTATGCAGCCATCTCTCAGGACAACGGCCTTGTGCCCATAGTGGAGCCAGAGATCCTTCTGGACGGGGACCACCCGATTGAGAGGACACTGGAGGTGGCAGAGAAAGTGTGGTCAGAGGTGTTTTTCTACCTGGCGCACAACAATGTAATGTTTGAGGGCATACTGTTGAAGCCAAGCATGGTGACACCAGGTGCTGAGCACAAGAACAAGGCCTCTCCCGAGACCGTTGCAGAGTTCACCCTCACCATGCTCAAGAGGAGGGTTCCTCCGGCTGTCCCAGGGATCATGTTTCTGTCTGGAGGACAATCGGAGGCGGAGGCCACGTTGAACCTGAACGCCATGAACCAGAGCCCAAACCCGTGGCATGTGTCCTTCTCCTACGCACGTGCCCTGCAGAACTCTGTGCTGAGGACGTGGCAAGGCAAGCCCGAGAAGATCGAGGCCTCGCAGAAGGCCCTCTTGGTTAGGGCAAAGGCCAACTCATTGGCTCAGCTAGGCAAATACTCAGCAGAGGGAGAGAACGAGGATGCGAAGAAAGGAATGTTTGTCAAGGGTTACACCTACTGATTCTTGTTAATTTTGGTCCCAGAGAGATGATGTTACTTAATAAGGACCAGGCCTACTTGTTATCTCTTTCTCAAGTTTTTGTTTCACTTTCAACCATGACTAAGAGACTCACAAGTCACACGATCGATGTGTATTGTGTGAGAAATCTACATATTTTTCGAAGCTCTATAAAAGATTTTAT